CTGCGGAGGCAGGGAGCGAGGCCGCTCTGTGCGCACGCACGCATTCATGCAGCCTGCATAAATAACATAAAAGTACGAAAAAAGCAAGAAAGAAACACGAACACCGGTTGTGAGGAGATGCGGTAAGTTGTCTCCGGTCGTGTGGGACACCGCGGCCGCCTTGTGCCTGCACGTATTGTTTTAATCACCTTTGCTTGTTTCTGTGTCGGTTGGGGGGTGGGGAGTTCCCTCAGTTCTCCGCCCTCGCGTGTTTCCTCGTGCAGCTGCCAGCACGCGTCCCTGGCGGCGGCGTGCGGTCCACGACGTCCCCACCAAAAGGCGCTACCTCCTACGGTCTCTTTCTCCCTCTTCCAGCTACCCTCTCGCTTTCTCACACACACACACACACACACACACACACCGCCGGCGTTCTCGTCGCGGCCGATAGAAAAGGGGTTGTGTGGGTGGCAAAGCGTCGTTTTAGCAGCTAGAGAACACAGTGGACCCACTTCGCGATGCGCTCCACCACGCCACCGCTGTACTACAAGCGCCCCGAAGGCGTCCCACTGCCGTACTACACCGCCGGTAGTGCCGCGGCGCGAGACGTGCCCCTCTCATTGCGTGTGCCACCCACAACAACGACCTCAGCGGCATGTAGTTTGGGCCAAGCCACGGCGCAAAACTTCACCCGCCTCGGCTCCACAGAACAGGCAACGTATGGACCTCAACTGGCTGTGAGCAACACGTTTCCTTCCGTGCCGTCTGTGGTCAACCCTTTTAACCTCGTCAACCCTTCACCGCGCGCCTCTGTGGCGGCCGAAAACCCGGCAGACCTCCTGCAACAAAGCGCAGCCCGCTGGAGCGTCACGGCAAGTCAAAGCGCCCAGGCTCTCTCCGCGTTAGAGGCAGAGGAGGCATCACTGCTGTTGGAGGAGCAGGCTATGAAGGCGAAACTGGCGGAGCTGCAGTTAACGCGGCAGCGCCACATTGAAGGGCAGCTCGAACTCAGCCATGGTTGGGCGGCGCTGCTTGACCGTGAGGAACGCTACTTTACGGAGCCTCTTGTGGACCTCTCAGAGGAGATTATGGCGAGGGAGCATCAGTGCGGCCTGCTGCATGACCAGCTTCAGCAGGCGGAGGCGCACCTGGAGGCCCTTCTCCGCGAGCATCAGGAATACGACGCGGTTGTGGAGGAGAAGAAGAGTTTGGAAACGGAGATGCAACGCGTGCGGGAGGGATTTCTGGCGGTGGAGCGGCGTCGCAAGGCTTGCAGGTTGCGGGCAGAGTTATTCTTCGATGCCGAGTCGAAGCGCACCGTGCAGGCGTCACACCGTGTGCGGGTGCTGGACGCGCAGCTGAAAGAGATGGGCTCGACGGGGCCGTTGGCGGAGTTTCGGTCGGCACCCCCGTCGCGGTCCACTTCACGTGGGGTCACCTTCGCACAGAAGAGTACTATTCTTGACGGTGGCCTCCACGCCAACACGGCGACGGAGGAGGAGGAGGATGGAGAAGACGCCGGACTCACGCAGGGAGTTGGCGGCACGTCTGTGTGCCTGCAGAATGACGAGGATGACGAGGACGTCGGTGGCATCGGCGGGCAGAGTGTCGCCTACTCCCTCAGCCTCCCAAAGAGGCGTCGGGTTGAGGTGCCCACGGCCTGATGCCATCCTGCGGCCTGCGGAGGCATCCTCTTTTCTTATCGCCCTTTCGTGCAGGCCACCGTCGTGCTAGTGTGGCCGTTTATTATTATTATTATTTTCTTTTAGAGGCACTAAAGGCATGTTATTTCCCCTTAGATCCCCCGCCCCCGAGCGAGCCCCTACTGTGTTGCTGTTGCGTTGGCTCAACGGGGTCGTGTTTTATTTTACTTTATGGGCGAAGGCGGCGGCGTCTTCTCCTTTGGGCCCGGTAGAAAAATGGGCCTGCGGTGTGCTTCTCAGCCTCCGTCAAAGCGAAAGTTATCAAATGAGAGAAAGGGAGGAAGAGAAACAAACAGTGAGGTGTAATGTACCAGTTACTTTCCCCCGCCTGCATGTATGCATGTCTGTCCGCGTGAATGGGCCGGTGTACGTCGTGCGGTGTTTCAGTTGGTTTCTCCTCTCTTTTTGTGACACGCGTGCGACGCGGATTGCACCAGCGCCCACCCCAATCGCTTCCATCATATCTCCATTTTGTCCGCTCTTTCTCCCTACCCCCCTCTCCGACATTTCCGTCGACTTCCCTGAAAATCGTCCCTGTTCTTTTCGGCGGGGCCCACAGGAAGCAATGCGGTGGCTGACACGACTGGACGTATTTCCAAAGTTCGATGCGAAGTTCGAGCAAGACGCACGGCACCGGACGGCAGTTGGCGGCGTCTTCTCGCTTCTCTCCCTTTTCATTATCGCAACTCTTGTCGTAGGGGAAGTGCGGTACTTCTTCTCCACCGTCGAGCAGCACGAGATGTATGTTGACCACAACCTCGGCGGCATGATGGACATCACCGTGAACATCACCTTCCCGCGTGTTCCGTGCGACCTCATCACCGCGGATGTCGTGGACAGCTTTGGAAACTTCGCCAAGGACGTGGAGCATGATACGGTCAAGACGCGTGTGGACAGGCTGACGCTGGAGAAGATCAGCGAAGCGCGTCCGCTGGTAGACGAGAATAAGAAGCTGACCAAAGCTCTTGACCCCGACGGCGCGGAGAAGGAGAACTGCCCGAGTTGCTACGGGGCAGAACCGGAGCCGGGAGCCTGCTGCCACACCTGTGACGACGTCCGCCGCGCATATGCCCAGCGGAAGTGGGTATTCAATGAGGATGACATCAGCGTGGCGCAGTGCGCCGAGGAGCGGCTACGCAAGGCCTCCCTTGCGAAGAGCCAGGAGGGGTGCAATTTGTTTGCCAAATACAAAGTGACTCGAGTGACTGGGAACATTCATTTCGTGCCGGGACGCATGTTCAGTGTGTTGGGCCAACACCTGCACGACCTTGGGGGGAAGCTGGCGCGTGAGCTCAACCTCAGTCATATTGTGCACTCCCTTGAATTTGGTGAGCAGTTTCCGGGGCAGATGAACCCAATGGAAGGCCTAGTGAACACGCGAGGCGCCGTGGACGCGACGGAGGAGGTGAACGGTCGCTTCAGCTACTTTGTGAAGGTTGTTCCGACACAGTACGAGGTGGCCTCCTTCCTTGGTGTTGGCAAGGTGGTGGAGTCCAATCAGTACTCCGTCACGCATCATTTTACCGCCATTCCGAAGGGTGAGGCGGCGGACAGACAACCCGCGTTGGTGCCTGGGGTGTTCATCACGTACGATTTGTCGCCTATCAGAGTCTTTGTGCTGGAGAAGCACCCGTATCCTTCGTTTGTGCACCTCCTGCTGCAGCTGTGCGCGGTGGGGGGCGGGGTATTTACCGTGGCCGGCATTGTGGACGCCCTCATTTTCCATGGTGTTCGTCGCGTGCAGCGCAAGATGCAGGAAGGGAAGCAATTCTAACCGCCAGGTCGCTATCCTCACTTTTCTATATATATATGTGGTGTGTGGTGTTGCAAGCCAAAATGGCCGTTGAAGAGACGTTTTCTCGGGGCCGCACGGCAGCGCTGCGTGTCCAGCAGCGAGGGAAAAGAGGGTCTACAGAAGGTTAAAAAAAAAAACGATTTGCGACTTCAAACACAACGCGAAGCAGGCGATTCTTCCACATAACTTTGTTTTGTTTCTGGTGTGTTTGTTTCCCCTTCCAGCTTGAGCCCGTCGCCGCCTGTCCGTTTTACAGTATTCGTTCGATGCTGCGAGGCCTCCCTCTCTCTCTGTGTGCGTGCGTGTGTGTTGACATCCACTTTTGTGCTCTTTTATCTTCCTTTCTATCCCCGTGCCGTGTAGATTGATTCCCTCTCATTTATTAGAAAATTTGGCATGCATCCCGCTCACTCACCTCACTGTGGGCCACACACCCACACGATCCTCGTGTGGCTCGTCACCCTGCTGCTTATTTACGGCCCCTCCGCTGCAGCGGCGTTCGGGACAAAGATCGACGCGGGCGACCGCGAGTGTTTCGTCGAGACCATTTCGGCGGGAGGATCTCTCGCGTTTATGTTCCGCGTGACGGACGGCGGCTCCTTTGACATCGACGCCGTCATGTACGCCACGACGGTGGCCCCGCTGCATGACGTGGAGGAGACGACGCGGATCCACTACCATGGGCCCCTCATCGTGATGCGTGAGAACACGACGACAACTGTGGTGAACGAGTGGCGGCGGGCGAACGAGGGCAGCCAAACGTACACTGCCCCCACCGCAGCGGAGACGAAGCACGGGCTACCGGCTGAGGTCACAGTGTGCTTTGACAACTCCTTTTCGCGTGTGTCGCCGAAGTGGCTGTTGTTTCAGTTTCTGAAACGCGACCTGATTGAGCTGGACCCCGAGACCACCGCCCGGACGGAGGCGGCGGTTGAAAAGACGCTGTACAAGCACGGCACGGTGCTGTTCGAGCTGGCCACCGTGACAGAGCAGATGCGGCAAATGAGGGAGCTGGACCGCGTGCGGCACGCGTCCCTTGTCCACATCATCACGGGTGGCTTGGTGGGGAACATTCTGATCCTCGCGATCATGGCGGCGTACCAATATCTCACCCTCACCCGCTTCCTCGCCCACCGTCGTGCAAAGTAGAGAAGAAACAAAAGACCGAAAACACACAAGCACAAAACGGCATGGCTGTGACCTCGAAAGCACTACATATTATTATTATTATTATTATTATTATTATTTTT